TTTTTTGGCCTGACTTGGTGTCGTTGGTTTCGAGTGAGGCCTTGTGCGACTCACACAGTTTTTTCTCGGATGGATGCCCTGAACATGGTATTTTGAAACAATACCGATGGACATTCCTGTAGCAGCGCGCGCGTACATTCCAGCGCACGTGGTGTACCCAGTGCCCGCAGTACGACTGTCCTTTGTGTAGGCATGCGACTCACACCTGTGTTGCGACACGCTCCTTCATATGCCGAATCTTCACATTCCTAATGGTCGTATCCCCGCAAGTTCGTGCTAGTGCAAGCGCATACCTGCGATGGCTTGAAGCACACGTCCTACGCGTTCCAGTGGATGCGCCGTACCTTCAGCTGCAAAGTCTTGTCCGTGCACGGCCAGATGGGTCGACCTGATTGGACACGACGACCTGGCAAAACTACCAAGCAAAGCAGCCACTGCGACAGACAGACCGCATAGGTTTGACAGACTATACGCCGTCATTACTGCCGTCACTGTCATGTACGTGTGACAGGCACAACGGTCGGTATGGTAGTACTCGTGGTGGTGATGGCTTTCAAAATTCTATAACGTACCAGCAGCTAAGGTATTTCGTTTTGGCCGCCGTGCTTTGGCAGGATGACGTGGCACTACTGTTGCGATTTCGTGTAGTGCATTTTTTTGCCTGTGCAGCAGTACTCGCGCGGTAGCTGTGGCCAGTGACTGCCATCCAAAGTCGCGCCGACCAGTGAATACCAGCTATACGCTCCAGCACTAGCCGTTTCCGTTCTCAGACATAAACCGTATACGTTCCAAAACATAGATCGTATGCGCTCCGCAACATAAACCCTATACGCTCCAACGCATAAGCCGTATACGTTCCCACACATAAACCGTATACGCTCCACAACATAAACCGTATACGTTGCAACACATAAACCGTATACGTTCCAACACATAAACCGTTTACGCTCCAAGATATAAACCGTATACGTTCGAACAGATAAACTCTGTACGTGTGCCACTGAATACCTCCTACGTTGTAGCGCAGAGGCTCTTGGTCAGATGTCGCGTATACTGGATATACTTCCAGTGAGCGCACATGATCGTATCCGTGCCACGACAGGTACCAGCACAGTCTTGATACACTTCAGCCAAAGTTTGCGTGTAGCTCCCTGTGCGTGTGTGTGTGTGTGTGTGTGTGTGTGTGCTACGTTCCTCCACACACCGTATACGCTCTAGGACACATGTTTTCTTTGCGCGGGCCTGTGGCTGCGTGCGATGTTTTAGAACATGTCGTAGACACTCCAGAAGATACTTCGTGTGTACTTTTGGACAGCGACGCACTGCGAACAGTAGAAAGCAGTGAATACCTGGGACGAGGACCTTTGACCACAGCAACTGCTACCTAAGATGGTCCACCACAGACAGATTGTACTGCACAGTTGGTGGGGTCTTAGACTGAAAGATGCATGAATCCGTTAATGCTGTTTTTTTTAGAGAAGGGTCGTCATCATTGCTGGCCAGCATTGAAGGCTCAGCGTTTGGAAGAGAGTGTGCCGGAACGTTGTCCGGCGCGTTGGTGTATTTGTGACATTGGGCCATGTTAGGCTCGACCCAGTCAGAGTGCTGGGAATGCAGGCTTTGCTGGCCTCAAAGTCAAGAACAAATATCCACAACCTTGGAGGTGCCAGACCAAGCTGTCATGTAGAATGTTCTAGAATTTTTTGGGAGCAGACTGGCAAGCAACTGGGCGCACACTGCGGATCTTCGCAAAAGCGCCGATTCCGAAAGAGGGTTTTTGTGAGACAGGTCGGCAGTGCCAGTGCAATGCTTTCTGATGTGGCAGGCGGACTCTGCATGAACCCAATTGATCAACAGACTGTATGTTTCAAAGGGTTTGGGAAACTTTTTGTGCGCATGCTGTGTGTTCCAGCAGCACTGTCGAGCTGAAAAACCCAGATTACGTCAAACCAATTCTGACGGCTTCGAGCAACAACACATGAACTGGCAACGCCTTTTTCAATATTTTGGTGTTCCTCCGGAAACTTTGTGGCTTCGCCGGCATGAGGTCTAGACCCATGCAGGTTCCTGGAACTTTGGAGTTTGCGAGGGAAAGACGGGATCTGTGTCAGAAAGATCAAACTGAAACAGTTTCGTCGCCTTTGTTTTTGTGAAGGGGTGATGTGCGCACAAATGCGCGCCAAGTTGACCACATGATCATATTTGTAAACGCGCAGCAGGTTGTCACGACCGTTAGAAGAATACAGCTAGTAGTGGGCCGAAGTCGGCCCGACTTGCATAGATCAGAGAAGAGAACGCAGTGAAGAGTGCCCCAACCACCTGCCCTCCGTCACCCCGCAGCACGGCAGGAGTTCTGCAACATTTGTCTTCATTTTGACGGCCCAGTGGTGGCCCCACTGCTCTTGCTGTTGGTGCCTGAAGGGACGGGGGGCTTGCGCAAGGCGCACAAGCGTCAGTGCACTCTGCCGAGCAGTACGCTTTGCAGAGCAGTGCTCGGATTTTGACTTTTGTTTCCGGCCCCAAAGAAACGAACTGTCAGGAAGACAAATGATTCTTTCCTTTCTTTTCACCAATTGTAGTGTCCCAACGCTGCTTGGCCATGTCCATGGGAGTGTGTGGAGAGCCTGGGACAGACAGACTCGCTGTGGCATTTGTCGCGTGTTCAGTTACGCCGCAGCTTTGACAAATAATTGAGTTTGTTTTGGTGCACTTTTTGGAAGGGCTCTGTTGCACGGAACCGTTGTTGCCGGGTTCGGCCCACGGCTTCCAAGCAGTTTCCCTGCAGCCCGACAGGTGGCGGAGATTGTTCCACTGTGTGACTGACACCGGCCCAGAACTGAGCCAAGCTTTCACCGACTTACTGGTTCCAGATTCCAGTTGCCTGCCACTGGTTTGACAAGGAGGGACACTTTGGAAACACGTGCGCATGGACATTTGTTGTGGTGAATACAACATATAAATAAGTAAAACATGTGGGCGTAGAGTCGTACAGGCATGCCTGGAGTAATGAGCAAGCTCTTGTGAGGCAATGGTTCGTAACTGGCCTGTTTTGGCTCGGGCGTAGTTTTTTTGGTCCCTGCGGTTCCTTTGTTTGCTGTGATGCCCCGGAAACCTTCCGGTGAGATCAAAAAGCGGATCCACAAGAGAGTTCCCAAGCGAGAGTGGCATAGTAACACTCACATCGAATTTGCACAAGAGAACCCGAAAAGGCCTGGGACGAAAGCTTTCCAGCGGTACGAGAAGTACAAGTCCAGTGCCTGTGTTGGCCATGCGTGGCTGCAGGGGGCCACAATGCTAGACTTGGATTCGGATTTTGCCAAAGGGCATTTAAAGCTGGCGGAAGGAAATGCATCTGCAGATGAATTGTCCGAGTTTGCTCCGGAAGATCCAGAGCAGTGTTTGCTTTTGCCTGTGCAAGCCGAAGTGAGCGCGGAGCCAGAACAACGTGTTAATGACTCACCACTATTGGAGGGTTATGTGCAACCTGGGGTGCACTCTGTTGGAGTGCAGGCAGTGGTTGAAACGGGCTCCACCAGCCCTTCCCTGGATGTGGCAATGCGCTCTGTGGGCGCGCAAACCGAGCAGACCAGCATGGAAGCAGAGTTAGCCGATCTGACCTACCAGCTCTACTATTGGCGTGAGAAGTGTTATAGGGCGGGGGTGGCGAAAAGGGGGGAATGGCCTCCGTAGAAAGCCTTTGACTCGCAGAAACAAGCTGTGCTTGCAAGACAAAGGGGCTGCCTGTTTTTGCCGTTTCTCGCTTCAAGTAGGGCCCCACGAGTGCAGTTTGATCATTGGATTACCTCAGCGGTTGGCGCCAACCATGGGCGTAATTGAAGAGCCGTTTCCACCCCCAATACCGGGTCCAATGTTCACAGTAAAAGCGACTCTATTCAGCGGATCTTTCACTGGAACATTACCCCGCTGGTTGGCGCCAACCATCGAGGTATTACATTGACAGTTGTGCCTCTCATTACCTGATACCTTCTTTGTTGATGGCTTGTAGCATGTCTTGTCGGTTGCCGGGCATCTTCGGGCATGGTGTCCCGGCTGGCTGCGCTCTTCAGGCACCAGAGCTCAAAACGAGCAAAGCCTGTGCACAAGGATGCGCCCACTAAGGCAGTTTCCGGCAAGGCAAAGCCCAACAAGAAGAGGGCTAAAGCTGCATCAAAAGACAGAGAGGAGCCGAAGTCGACGCAAGCTTTGTGGAGAAAATTTGGAAGGAAGTGGCAAGCTGGACCAGGTTCTGTGGTCCTGCCTCAGCAAGATGCAGCTGATCGTTTGCCCAAGAAGCATGTGTGGCTTCAATTTCGATCTGGCATGGGGTGTTCTGTACGCGCTTGGTTTGCAGAGCGTGCCCAGCCAGAGAAACCCAAGGATAGGCAAAGACGGTTTTGCACCAAGTGGTCCCAATTTCGTGTCTCGAGCATTTCGTCTATGCAAAGTTGCACCATTCGAGCTCATGCAGAGAGCCTTGTGCACAAGATGGCTTGGAAGGCCTTCTGCAACAAACAGTTGCTGCATTCCATTGTGCAGGAACCTCTAGAGGACAGCTACCTTCAGAAAGGCGGAGTGCCCCAAGTAGCAGATTGGCTCAGACTTTGGAAGGCCCTTCGGTCCACCAATTTGTCTCTCCGAGGTCTTGAGCAGCTAAGCTTCACAGATAGTTTCGCAGCATGCGACCGAACTGAGTGCAAAGGCATCTCCAGGGAAGCCTACAAACAGATGGTAGCGGTCTTTGTCGATGTTTTGCGGGAGGAAAAGCGAGAGGCACTCCGCAAAGCGGTGGCAGTGTGCATCAGCACGGACGACAAGAGTAGCCTGGAAATTTTTCATAATTTATCGTTTTGTTTTTCCATGTTCGGTATCGTGTTCGCTGGTCTTAGCCACTGGCCCGTGCTCGGACGAACACATTCAGGCCCATGGCGCGATGTTTCGTACCAAGCTTGCTTGCAAGATGGCAGTGTTTGCCGCGGCGTCGTGCGAGCAACTGGCATCCATCCATTGTCTCCAGTTTTCTTGTTTTTCACAAGAGAAAGCGGAACATCTATTAGGTGGTGTACCTCCTTTTTATCAGAAACTTCTGTCCATGGTCGAGCACGACTCTGACCTATGTTGCGTGTGTTGTTGTGCATGGCTTTCTCTCTCCCTCTCCCTATGGATGTAGGTATATATATATATATATTTTTTGCTGTTTGTTTATATAGACTGTAATCCGGTATAGTTTGGCTTTTGCCAGTGGTCGAGGTGGTCTTCACCAATGACGACCTAGACAAAGACAAAGTGGAGTCAGATAAGTCCGTGGCCATGGCAGAGAGCATTGTTTCCGCGTGGACGGATCTGTGCACACCAAGAGGTGGAACCCTGGACAGGGAACTGCTGCAGCACATTTTGTCCATCACTTTTGCCTGGTCATCTGACAGATGTCCTGCGGCCATGAAAGCAGCCCGTGCACTTCGCCAGCATTGCCCGAGGCTGTGCTTCATCAACAAAGATCCTTGTCACGTCATTCGCACAGTGACCAGCTTGGTGGAGAGTAGCTTTGGCAAAGCGGAGGAGGTATTGTTCAACGACAAGACATCGGTAGTCCCCACAATCACCAACTCAGCTGAGTGGAGCCTCGAAGAGTTCAATATTTCCACTTTTTTTAAACGGCTCGGTTTGTTTTTCCACCACGCATTAGGTTTTGTCGGCATTGAATTGGTGCAGTTGGCCAGCTCAGGAAGAGTAAGTTCCTGTGGTTGGAGAAACTCGTATTGGAGAAGCCAGAGTTCAGTGGTGCCATGAAGGTCGCCGTTCGACATTTCCAGTGGGCGAAGACAAGATGGGAATCCAGCGCAGGACCTCGAAGGCGGCTGTGCCATCTTCTGATCCCAACCGCGTTGCTGCTTGCTGTGGCTGCGTCGGATGCCCGCGCATCTCCAGAAGAGCAGAAGAGGCGCCTTGCCAATCTTTTCAAAGGGAGGTAGCCGCCCAAGAAGCACCACTAGTTTTTTAAGTCGATAACTGGGCGCTTCGATCCCTAGACAGGCTGGTCTCACGGCTGGACGCTCTCCGGCCACAACTTTGGCTGGAGCTTGGGATCGCCGCGGATTGGAGGGAAGAGTTCATCTCTCTCATTCGGCGCTTGGAGCCAGAGGGCTACGACCCGGCCTGCTTGGAGGCGGATGTGCGGGAGTGGTTCCGTCGGCAGACGCAGCTTTTTCAGGATGGCCGGATTTTAGATGAGCTTCCTGACGAAGAGGGGTCGGAGCAGTCGTGCACCTTTCACGTGGTCAGGAATGCGATGCAATGCCCTCCTTTGTATGTTGGTGGCAGAGTCTTCCACATGTGGTCGAAAGAGCGTGGTGACAAACAGGTCTTCCAGGGCGTTCTTCAAAACATGTCCAACCTGGTTGAAGCGGCCAAGGCTCGTGTAGACTCGGAGCTCTTGAACACCATGCAGACGGATTGGCAGGTTTTTTCACTTCGGTCTTGGACGCGCAGCCGCAACCAAAGTGTGGAAGAGCAGAGGACTTTTGATTCTGTGTTGCGGCATCGCCTAGGTCGGCTACTGCGCTCTTTGGCATTGAGTGTGCGCGATGGCACGGAGCAGTTCTTTCGAGTGGCCCCGATTTTGGCAGAAAAGTTTGAAGAGAAAATGGACAACCGCGTCCTGTGGCACCGTGTTTTTGAGGAGGCCACGGTCCGGACAGCCGGTGATGTCTCTGTCCTTCGTCGCTGGGGTTGAGATGGGTTTTTGCAACTGCATGCTACACTGCTTTCTGTTGGTTAGTTGGGTTGGGTTTTTGTGGGACGAGGGAGGGGGGTCCCATTATTTTAGACTCTCGGACTAAAACCCCTGACCTGAGGTATTTTGGTGGGCGCCTATTTAGCGAACATGGCTGGATCCACGGGTCGGGAGCGAGAATTGGCACAGATCAAAGCTCTGGCAGACAATCACACGAATTGCAGTGCTGATTTGGCATCGGCAATCCACGAGATCCGCATGGATGGGCCGCAGGATGAATCAGGCTTGGCTGTCAGGTACGCAGCTCAACTTCGGAAATCTTGCGAGGATGCTGTTGAGGAGTCTGTGGAGCCAGGTTTGGCAATGGCAACTTTGAGCAGAAAATTGGCCACTCTTTGGGTGCAGCGGAATGGTCGCCGATTCCGGGTGTACCGCGTCAGGCGGGACAAGGGGGAGCGCAGAGGATGCCGTCCTGGTTCCGAGCGAGCCCTCATCCTCTCCCAGCAGCAGGGTCGTGCGCAGCTGGCCGATGGCAAGGGGCGATGCAACGGCCTCTTAGGCTTCAAGAAAGACGACCTCTTGGTGCCCAGAGGCAAAAGAAAAGAAAAATACTTGCTGTCCGATGTGCTGGCCCAATTCAGAAAGACAACCGAGAACCGGCAGAAAGAAAAGCTTGCTCGACACGGAAACATCAGAGCGGGTGCAAACCCGTACCCTTTGGGTTCCCTGCGCCTTGGTCGCCTCTTTGATGGACCCGGGGATGAAGGCCAGACGACTATCCGGTTGGGCGGCAGTGGGCGACAGGTGCGCACCTACAACCTCTCCAAAGTGGGAGCTTTGCCTCTCATTCCCGGAGCAAAAGTGCTGGACTCTTTCAGCTCACAAGTTGATTTGGTGGTCGTAGACTCCCTGCCTGACCTTTCCTATGGGGGACAGCACCGGAAGAGCACGTGCCCTGGCATCGGCTATGACTGTTGTGCGCCCACTTTTCCCCTCCCCC